TGTCAGTGACCCAACAGGCAGCATGACGGAGGTAAAAATGGCGACTGTCACCCGGAGACAAGGGAACAGCAACCAACGATCCCGTGCAAGACGGGTTGGAACCCGGAAGACACATTCAATGGTCCCCCGAGCCCAGACAGGGGTTTCCAGGGCCCGTAGGGTAACAACTACGGGAAGCCCGGGCAAGGTGTTGCTAACCGGTTAAGAAACCCAAACATAACAAGAGGGTAGATTATAGCACTGAAAACCCCTGAGACGTGTACAAGCACGGGGGCCTAGCAGAGGGCCGCCAAACACTACCAGTGGAACTATAACCACCTTAGGCAGACCCCCACCAGGCAAGAAAATGAAAAACAAAAGAAAAACCCCGCAAAAGTACACCGTCTCCAGAGGCAACAGAAACCGGCCGCCGCATAGGTGGCAGGCTGCGCAACACCTTGACGCCCGAACCAGCACAATACCAATCCCTACCCAGGGCCAAACAAGGGCCCCAAGCCCCAGCTGGCCCCAAGGGCGAGGCAAATGCCGAGCAGCAAGAACCTCTACGGGAATGGTTCCCGAACGCCCCAGGGAAGATAACCCTGTTACGCAAGGGCAGTACTCACAGGGCGCTTAGGGAAGTCAGCCACTAAGCACATGCAGCCCCGGCACTGATGAAGTACTCCTGGCCACCGCACACCACAACACACGGCAGTGAACGCCACACAAGGCAAACACCGCCAAGGAAACTGAGGCCAGAGAAGCGTCAATCCCGGTTGACATTAGCGAACGAACTGAAGCTTGGCAGCCGGCGCGGTAGGTCCGGGGCTCCCCCCTCCCCCTCCCGGGGTGGGGAGGGCTGCGCGGACGATCGGCGCGGCAGTAAAGTGTGATGTTTGCTTGTTTGCTTGTTTCCTTGGGATTGTAGGGAGTTTTCTACCTCTCTGTTCGGTTTTTGTTGTAGTTTCTTACCATGTGGGGTTTGTTTTGTTACGCCTACCTTTCTGGGTGCCTAACCCCGGTCGATGGCAGATACGGAAAACCCCCAACCATATGGGGTTTTCCAGGGCCATTGCTCCCTGAAACCTCTCTGAAGGGGCCAGGTTCTGGCGCTGGTCCCTGGTAGGTCTGAACTCCTTAGCTAATGTCCCGGTCTAACATAACATACATTAGCCCGATAAGCTCCAGGGAGCCGTAGGGGCTCCCCACAGAAAAAGTTTCAAAAACTGTTGGCATTCTTTCTAAGATCAGATATTATGTACCTCGCCCTGCCCTGGTGACACACTATTGCTCTCTCGTCTATCCTTATGTCAACTATGGTATTTGTGCTTGGGGTTCTACTACCCAAAATCATTAAGTCCTCTAATTACTAACACAAAGCTGCTATTAGGACTATATCTAACTCTGGCCCCAGACATCACTTGGTACCCTTACTCAAATCTCTGAATATGTTAGATATTAAGTCACTGCATATCCTTTCATGTGTATTTTATACATATATAAAATGCTGAACTGTAATGTCAATCCTGACCTTAAAATCTTCCTAGAAGGTTTAACAGATCCCATGAGCACCACACCAGAAACAAATACCTATTTGATATTCCAAGAGTACGGCTTAATCAAACTAGAAATGCTTTACAAATCAAGGGACCCAGAATGTGGAATGACCTTCCCAATCATGTTAAAGATTGTACCTCTCCCAACCAGTTTAAGATAAAAAGTAAGTACTACCTAATTAACTCTATGTAACCTACCTCACCCCCAAATTGTCAACCCATGTCTACTATTTTAAACAATGCTTTTGTTGACCAAATTGTATTTTTGCTATTTTTTCTGCCTTGTTCCCCCTTTCCTTTTTTTTTATTTTTTTATTTTCTCAACACAATTTATACTTTAATCTCAATTAGTATGTATTAAGTTTTAGTTTTAGTGTTTTTCCTGCCCAAAACGCTTTGCGTAATAGTGGCTTTAGGCATTGTATGTACTAGCTCTATCTATAAATCCATCAACATTTTGTATCTCACCTTGTATGTATGTACTTTACCTGAATAAATATTTGTATTTGTATATCTATGACATATTGTTCTTGAAGTTGCAGTTTCATAAAGTCCTCGTCTATTTTGTCAATTTCTGTTACTATTTTATAAATAGTGATCACAAAGCCTCTTTTTCCCTATCTTCCAGCCTTGGCATATTTAATGCCTCTAGTCCCTTCTCACAGATCATGTCCTTAACTTCTGAGAGCCATTTAGTAGAATGTCTTTGCACCCTTTCTAATATATTTAAGCAAGACGAGATATGGGCACCACACCACCGCTGCATACTGTATTTCAATTTTGGTCTCACAAAATGCATACATTTTCTTTAATGTTTCTCTATCCATATATTTAACCATTGCACTGCGCAATGCACCTGTAGGCACTCGACAGGTGGTGTGTAACGTGCCTCAAGGATCATATAGGTATAGCATACCATTCAAAACTGGCACGCAGTGATGCGAGTACAAAATGGATGCCTGAGGGCCACAGTGATCATCCGCTATTTTGACAAAAAAATCCCAGCATGCCCCAGGGCCGTGGGGAGCCTCAGTTTCAAGGAAGCAATCATGTCTGAAGTGTCGTCTATGAGCTCCCGCTCCACGGTCAGTCGCAGTCATGGAAAACGACATTCTGAGGAGGAAATATGCCACATAATGTATGATGATCGTGCCATGGATGATGATTTAGACTACGATTCAGAAAAAGACCTTACACAGAGGTCTGACACGAGTAAGGGAGAGACTGAGGTGGAGGATGTCGCGAGTGTGTACAGAACACACGCCTCGTCCAACCGGCCTCGTCGCCCTGGGTCAACATCGCTAGAGTCACCACCACCATGTGTATCCTCTGATGCAAGTTTATTCAGTGACAGTACTTGTGATGAATCATTCTCAGGCTTCAGTGACATAGGCTCCGATACAAGTACAGGGTAGTGCTAATGACCCGAGTACAAGCAGTGAGGGTGTTACTAGGCGGGGTTTTGCTGTGCCAGCAACACGCCGAGGCAAACGGCAGTAAGTCACGCGACCAGAGGACAATGACGACAGTGTTCCCTCGACATCCGGTGTTCGGGGTAGGCCTACACTATGCAGAACAGCCTCATCTCCTGGCATACCTATACGCAGCTCTAGCACAAGACGACGGAGCCGTGTTTTTGGTGCTCGTGGTAGTGTTAGCCGTGGTGTTGGCGCCAAAACCAAACCCCTGAGTGTACTTGTGTGGGAGGATTGTGAGAGATTTGTCCCACAAATACTGTACCAACTTTTGATGGTACCGATGTTGGTGTGACACCATTATTCCCATATACAGGTGATATGGCTGAAATCGACTATTTCCTGGCTTATTTTGATAGTGAATTCAGAACTATCTTGTGGCAGAGACGAACAGACATGCTCACAGCCTCATAGACACCGACATTTAATCTGCCTTTTGCATGGCACAATGGAAGGACACCACAAGTGTCTGGGGGCCTCGTAGCCTGGTGGATAGCGCGCAGGATTCGTAATTCTGTGGCGCGGGTTCGATTCCCGCATGAGGCAGAAACAAATGGGCAAAGTTTATTCACCCTGAATGCCCCTGTTACCTAGCAGTAAATAGGTACCTGGGAGTTAGTCAGCTGTCATGGGCTGCTTCCTGGGGTGTGTGTGTGTGTGTGTGTGTGTGTGTGGTGTGAAAAAAAAGAAAAAAAAAAAAAAAAAAAAAAAAAAAAAAAAAAAAAAAAAAAAAAAAAAAAAAAAAAAAAATAGTAGTTAGTAAACAGTTGATTGACAGTTGAGAGGCGGGCCGAAAGAGCAAAGCTCAACCCCCGTAAAAACACAACTAGTAAACACAAGTGAGGAAATGTGCGGGTTTCTCGCGCTGAGCATGATGGTGAAACACACTGAGAAACACGTCATCCAGGATTATTGGAACAAAGACAGCCTTGTTCCATCCCCCTCGTTTATTGGATGGAACTCCATCCAATAAACGGAGGATGGAACGAGGATGGAACTCTGAATTCGAGTTCCATCCTCGAATTCAGCATTTATTTATGCTGAATTCCATCTGGCATGTGTTGCTCCACTCACTCATTTTGTCTAGGTTAATTTTAGAGCTCAAAACAGTCAAAACTGACTTTTCCAAGGTAAGGTAATTATCAGGAGAAAGTGCTAAACCATTAAAACTATATAGCCCTTAGAAGGGATCAGGATAAGGATTTGGGAGAGGATGGAGGGAAGGAATGGTGGGCAATCACTTGGATGGTTGGGATTGAATGTCCACCTGGGCCACCTAGAGGGGCCTCGTAGCCTGGTGGATAGCGCCTCGTAGCCTGGTGGATAGCGTGCAGGACTCGTAATTCTGTGGCGCGGGTTCGATTCCCGCACGAGGCAGAAACAAATGGGCAAAGTTTCTTTCACCCTGAATGCCCCTGTTACCTAGCAGTAAATAGGTACCTGGGTGTTAGTCAGCTGTCACGGGCTGCTTCCTGGGGGTGGAGGCCTGGTCAAGGACCGGGCCGCGGGGACACTAAAAAGCCCCGAAATCATCTCAAGATAACCTCAAGATAACCTGCAAGTGAGACCGTCTACTGTCCAAGAAGTTGGGCCCGACTATCCCCAGCAATTTTGCATCATCTGCAAACGTATTCGTGTAACTACTGTATTCCCTCTGGTACATCATTTACATAGATAATAAATACCAGTGCAAAGAATGCAAAAACTGATCCTTGATGTACGCTGCTTATGACATTTCTCCATTCAGATAGAGTGCCTCTTAACTACTTAACTATACAAAATGCTATAATTACATGATCTGTAAATGTATGCTGCCACATGCTTACCATAATTGTTAACTTTTTTGTGTCACAAACAAACAAACAAACAAAGCTTCAAGCACAGTCAAAGAACCTTTGATAAATCTAAGACATCCACACTATTGGTGATAACTAGTAATTCAAATAATACAATTTTGAAAATCAGCATAAATAGTGCATTAAAAACTTACGTCAATGATCTCTCTTCAACATATCTTGCACTGTAGTTAACAACAGCCCAACATTCCAAGCTGGCACTTGAAAAGAATGTTCTATTTCGGGCATCCCAGACACCCTTTTCAGGTATCAGCTCGGTATTCATCTGTAGTTTAGGGGCAGGCAAAACGCGTCCATCCAAACTTACTGGCTGAAAGACATTTTAAAAGTTTTGGTGTTTCAAATGTAAAAAATTGTTAGGTGAAAAAGATTTCAGCAAATATTTAATAAAACTTCAACTATTGGTAGCTATTTTTGCAATTTTGCAATCGAGAAAAGCATCCCTGGTCCCCTACGTCAGCATACCACAAAATTTAAAGAATATTTTGAAGTATGTTCAACTCTATGCAAACTGTGGTTGAAAAACCACTTTAAATACTGGAATTAATTTTTTTATGATGTATTACAAAACTTGATGTTTGATATATTTACAGAATATAAACTTCATATCATAAAAAAATTATTAAACAATAAAATTCCTAGACACACATTTGGGTATCTTACCTTACTCCTGATGCCTCTGGTCAACTAGCAGTAAAGAGGTATCTGAGAATCAAGTCTGTTGTTCAATTGCAGCATGAGCAATGGCCTGGCTAAGGAAGCCATGATATGCCAAACCATTAAAATGCCTACCCACAAAACTTGCGCACACCAACACATCAATTTAAAAATACCGCCAGAAAAATCATCAGGACTAATGGAAGGACCTTTCCCCAAGTCATTGACTTCCTGTTTAGTTAATGGACAACAAAATCCCTGCAGCTTTCTTCAGTAACCAGAATGATATCTAGTTTGGAACAACTGATTTTGTTACTTCCAGTTCCTCCAGTTATCTTCTTACCTCTTCTACACTAACTTCAATTCTGTCATTTACAGTCTCTGTGGTGTAGTGGTAAGACACTCGCCTGGCATTCCGCGAGCGCTATGTCATGGGTTCGTATCCTGGCCGGGGAGGATTTACTGGGCTCAATTCCTTAACTGTAGCCTCTGTTTAACGCAACAGTAAAATGTGTACTTGGATGAAAACACGATTCTTCGCGGCGGGGATCGTATTCCAGGGACCTGCCCGAAACGCTACGCGTACTAGTGGCTGTACAAGAATGTAACAACTCTTGTATATATCTCAAAAAAAAAAAAAAAAAAAAAAAAAAAAAAATGTGTTGTTCCTGCAACTCTTCCTTCTATTTAGATAGTACTTTTGGTAACTATGTGGACCACCATCTTGAGGTTATCTTGAGATGATTTCGGGGCTTTTTAGTGTCCCCGCGGCCCGGTCCTCGACCAGGCCTCCACCCCCAGGAAGCTGCCCGTGACAGCTGACTAACACCCAGGTACCTATTTTACTGCTAGGTAACAGGGGCATTCAGGGTGAAAGAAACTTTGCCCATTTGTTTCTGCCTCGTGCGGGAATCGAACCCGCGCCACAGAATTACGAGTCCTGTGCGCTATCCACCAGGCTACGAGGCCCCTTCATACATACATACATTGACATAATGGACATTTAGATTGCAGAATTTGGTACTCTTCACCTTATGAAGTCCAGAAAAATAAAGCTAAAACCAAACTTATATATTCCTAGGTCTAGAATAGCACATATATTCAATATTAGGCCCCTCATAGCATGCATTAGGCCCAGGATGGTTTGGTTAGGTTTTATTAGCAATACAAAACCTATTCCAGTTTGCCCAAATTCAATAAAACCAAATTCTACTTTTGTAATTGTCCATTACATCAATATATGTCCAATGGTCTACATCATTACTGCAAGTATCATGTAAACAAAGGGATGGGCTGTACTTCTGGTCATCTGTTGTCATCCCCTACTTGGATACCAATCTGGTTCTGGTTTGAAGACCTGGAACCTCTTCTCGAGTACCTCACACTACTTCTTTTAACCAATACAGGTACTTTACATGTACTTTTGAACTAACAGGTATACAAGCCTATACAAGTCATCAATCCAAATTCATGCTACTGTATATGTTTTGCCAATACAAGTCATCTTGAGGTTATCTTGAGATGATTTCGGGGCTTTTTAGTGTCCCTGCAGCCCAGTCCTCGACCAGGCCTCCACCCCCAGGAAGCAGCCTGTGACAGCTGACTAACACCCAGGTACCTATTTTACTGCTAGGTAACAGGGGCATAGGGTGAAAGAAACTCTGCCCATTGTTTCTCGCCGGCGCCTGGGATTGAACTCGGGTCCACAGGATCACAAGTCCAGTGTGCTGTCTGCTCGGCCGACCGGCTCCCCATGGTTTTCAATTAGTCATACCACTAATTGAAAACAATTTTTGTTATAGCTACACACACCTGTTCAGTCCAGCTACAGATATGTATAAACAAGTTACAAGTAAAGTTACTCAATCTAAATCTACTCATTGATTATAACCCATTACTTGCCAGAATAAGAGTGGAATGTTAATATAATGCATCTGATGCTGTACCTCATGCATTAAACTTTCACCAGGAAAATTACAATCTATATTCCAGCAATATTTCTTGATGATTATCAGTAGGATATTGAGCGCCTCGGACCTTCGATGTTCAAAGTATTTTCAAAATGTGCTGTGCAAGTAATCCAATTGATTTTCAACAGCACCGAATCCACATTGATTTTACTGGACCATTTCCATTTACCCATCCATGAGTTGGACATACATCACATACTATAACCCAGTTCACTGTAATCACTGCCTTAGTGTAAAGATGGCTGAGACTGTACTGTATATACATGTGCAGTCAGGTGATTAAATTACCTCTTATCCCTCTTAGATCAATTTGTATAGCTGTGAAAATGTTATATGGCAGTAGATATGTCATTAGGAAAATTCTAAAAAAAAGTCAATCTATTTGGCAAAGAGTCTTCTCAAAGGAAACAAGGCATACAATATATGATGTAGATATGGATAAGGAGATTTATAATTCAAACTTACCTGATCTGATATGGAAAACTGTAGAGCTCTCATCATGGGGTCTGACGAGAAGTTCTGATTGCGAACAATATCCTTGACGGTCTTAAGCCTCTGCACAGGCAATTTGGCAGTACTACGAATAAACTGTGATGTCTCTTGGTCACTGAGCTTCTTTGCTACCTTTTGTCCTTTTGCAATCTTGCAACACTGAAATAATCCTCACATGAAATATGGCAGCAAACCCATTAAAGATCATGCAAAACTTAAAACATCAAGTCTTGTTTATTTGTACCAGTTGTCGTAAATTGTGCACATATTTAGTGTGACCAGAAACTATCACTATCAGAGTTTGATGCTATCAAAAAGATTGGAGAAAGGACACTTCTACACTAGTAAAACTCATTATATAAAGAAGAGAAGGTAAAAGGAAAAGAGGGAGAGGAAATGGTGTTGGAGGAAACAAGAAGCGCGACCAGGGGCATCTAAATCATTTAACCGAGCAAGAAAGTGAGCCTCGTCACACTGACAAGGTAAGAGACCGAGGCAATGTGTATGACTAGACCAACACCCAAATGCCACCCTCTGCAATGGGATTAGATCAAAGGGAGAATCTATCCCAAAGGAGGAAACTAATCAGCCCAGTAGAAAGGAGTACTATAAATATTTGGTACACAAATGCCAAAAGTGACATAATTGAGGATACAATATTCCTATGATGATATCAGGTAGTAAGAAAAGCAGGGATAAATAGGAGGAGGAGGAGTAGCCCTACTGACACAACAATACCGGAGCTTCAAGGAGACAGATTTTGGAGGTAATCAACCAGTAGGATTTCATACTTATGATAATTGAGGACCATGAAGATAGTGACAAGTGTTAAAAACTGAACTATAGGAAGGCCAGGGAAGGAATATGATAAATGCAACAAAACATGCCTGAAGACAAAATAAAAGGCAGTCACAGTGTCAGAGCCCGAACAAGGATCCTAATACTTGGGGATATTCCACTACTGTGTATATTAATTTATTCATTATATATATATATATATATATGTCGTACCTAGTAGCCAGAACGCACTTCTCTGCCTACTATGCAAGGCCCGATTTGCCTAATAAGCCAAGTTTTCCTGAATTAATAAATTTTCTCTAATTTTTTTCTTATGAAATGATAAAGCTACCCATTTCATTATGTATGAGGTCAATTTTTTTAATTGGAATTAAAATTAACGTAGATATATGACCGAACCTATCCAACCCTACCTAACCTAACCTATCTTTATAGGTTAGGTTAGGTTAGGTAGCCGAAAAAGTTAGGTTAGGTTAGGTTAGGTAGGTTAGGTAGTCGAAAAACAATTATTTCATGAAAACTTGGCTTATTAGGCAAATCGGGCCTTGTATAGCAGGCTGAGAAGTGCGTTCTGGCTACTAGGTACGATATATATATATATATATATATATATATATATATATATATATATATATATATATGTCGTACCTAGTAGCCAGAACGCACTTCTCAGCCTACTATGCAAGGCCCGATTTGCCTAATAAGCCAAGTTTTCCTGAATTAACATATTTTCTCTAATTTTTTTCTTATGAAATGATAAAGCTACCCATTTCATTATGTATGAGGTCAATTTTATTTTATTGGAGTTAAAATTAGCGTAGATATATGACCGAACCTAGCCAACCCTACCTAACCTAACCTAACCTATCTTTATAGGTTAGGTTAGGTTATGTAGCAGAAAAAGGTAGGTTAGGTTAGGTTAGGTAGGTTAGGTAGCCGAAAAAACATTAATTCATGAAAACTTGGCTTATTAGGCAAATCGGGCCTTGCATAGTAGGCATAGAAGTGCGTTCTGGCTAGTAGGTACGACATATATATATATATATATATATATATATATATATATATATATATATATATATATATATATATATATATATATATATATATATATATATATATATATATATATATATGTCGTACCTAGTAGCCAGAACTCACTTCTCAGCCTACTATGCAAGGCCTGATTTGCCTAATAAGCCTAGTTTTCATGAATTAATGTTTTTTCGACTACCTAACCTACCTAACCTAACCTAACCTAACGTTTTCGGCTACCTAACCTAACCTAACCTATAAAGATAGGTTAGGTTAGGTTAGGTAGGGTTGGATAGGTTCGGTCATATATCTACGTTAACTTTAACTCCAATAAAAAAAAATTGACCTCATACATAATGAAATGGGTAGCTTTATCATTTCATAAGAAAAAAATTAGAGAAAATATATTAATTCAGTAAAACTTGGCTTATTAGGCAAATCGGGCCTTGCATAGTAGGCTGAGAAGTGAGTTCTGGCTACTAGGTACGACATATATATATATATATATATATATGTCGTACCTAGTAGCCAGAACGCACTTCTCAGCCTACTATACAAGGCCCGATTTGCCTATATATATATATATACACAACTGATTAGAACTTGTAAGTTCTAATCAGTTGTGTATTTGTGAAGTCTTTGAAAATGTAATAAGTTTTACGAAACGCGCCCGTGTCGCGTCAGACTAGAAATAAAAATGAATTTTGGAGAAGTGATTTTTTATTTACCTCCAACAGTGAAGCGTAATGTACGAAAGATTGAGAAAATTCGTGTGAGAATTATTAATCTTACTTTTTCGGTCATATTTAATAATATATGTCTACAGGAAAGACTGCTACCAAAATATACTATATATATATATATATATATATATATATATATATATATATATATATATATATATATATATATATATATATATATATATATATATATATATATATATATATATATATATATGCAAACAAGCCTGAACAGTCTCCAGGCATATATGCCACCGAAAATATTATATATATATATATATTTATTTATTCTCACTTATCTTTAATCCACTACATAATACCTGCACTGATCATTATTTATATTACTTCGATGGTGTGCAAAAAATATTATATATGTATGCATTTGCATTAAAAAAGGAAAAGAAAAAAATGGCTTTTCTAGTATGGTAAAGAGGAAAGGGAGTTGGGTGGAAGAGCCACTGTATGTTAACAAGAGTGAGTTTGCAGACTCAAGTTAGTTTTTTCTTTGGCTGATTTATGTACATATAATTGACAAAAGCAGTGAGTACTGTGCTCCTGGTTCAGCTCAAAGGAACTGTCTTGAAATACCGTAGTCATAATACAAAAAACTTACTTCAATTGGTATAAAGATATTTCTGTGTATTGGTCCAACTTTCAAGCAATTGAGATGTGGATACCTCAGTGGTTTTCCATAAGTGTCCAATAAATACTTTTCCACTGTACACTGTTCAGTTCTGCCTTCACCTACATCCCGTGGAAAAGTTTGACGCGCTGCCCCAAGCTCTCCCACATCTGTGACTGTGTATGTTCGAGGAATCTGAGTGTGAGTCGCTTGAACCTGGAATAATTCAGGATTAGTCATCATCAATCCCTTGATTCCTAACTTTGAAGGGTAGGGAGACATTTGCATAATAAGCTGGGAGAGCAGTATGGATAAACCAGCATCACTGCATCGTACACTCATCTTGTCAAGTACAGATATACAGCATCACATTTACTCGTACATGTTTACATCAAGCCGCCTTCCTCCAACATATTTAGTCATTTGTTCCTAACCACACACACACACTTCACACTTTTCATGCATATTCAGGGTCACGCACACACACACATTTTACATACATTAATTAGTTTCAGTTATCTCTATGAATTATTGCCTCGAACTTGGAAACTATTACTCAGTAACTTAAACCACAATTAAAAAATCACTGCTTAACCCATTCACAAGAAAAATAAGTTTTATTTGGCAACACCAGTAGGACTGTCTCTTTAAACTGACCTTTAAACTGACAATGAATGTGATAAAATTACTACAGGCGATTGTGACCAGTTATGTTTTGCTTACACAACTGCAGTACAAGACAGTTATTATCCCCATACACTATTTAAGAAAACCTAAAAACTTGAGACATGTGATAAAAAATGCAATTCAGAATACATTACTGTACATTCACATTCAAGGAAAATAATTTATACTCAAAAATAGTAAAATGGCTTTTCTAAAAAAAAACACTAACTAAAAATATCAATACATCAATATGACTACTAGATAATTTTTTGACACTCAACTAATTCCTTAATTAATCCCTTTGTTCCCCTAATCCCTCCCACGAGGACCAAACATTTGGTTCCCAGGTAATAAGTGACGAACAGTACGGTGTCGTGTGACACTTGCTGATCTTCACGCAAAGTTTATAGGCCTTGCATTTTTTTTTTTATCTCCATTCATAGTATTTACATTTTTGAGCAACTTACTTTCATTTTCCTTAATGCTCTCTGAAGTGCATCCTTCTTATCAGGTCGTAATGGTTTCTCGAAGTCCTTATCATTAAACTTCAAGGCTTCCTTCATAAAATCCAAGACACTTTGTTCCTTATAAAAAGCTGTATGTACAACTGGAAAAAAAATTTATAATTTAAATAACATTTAAATGTACAAAATAAATGAGAAAATTATATCTGCTATATAGTAGTCAAAATGAGATATCTTGTCCTATAGTTACTTGTTAAACTTACATAGAACAGGTTATACAAGTTGAGAGTACCACCAACTGTCAGACACTAGTCAGGACACATGCACAATCAATTAAGTTTTAGTCTTTAATGTTTTTCCTGCCCGAAACTCTTTGCGTAATAGTGGCTTTAGGCATTGTATGTACTAGCTCTATCTATAAATCTATCAATTTTTGTATAACCTCTTGTATGTATGTACTTTACCTGAATAAACATTTATTTATTTTATTTAATCGTGCCCCTACAGGTGCCATAGATGTTAACACCAAGTAAAACACCCAGCACTCGGTGCCATTTTAATGCATGGGCACACCGACCAGCTGCCCAGGGGCCTCATGATTCCTAGAGCCCCATACTGCCATACTGTTCATAAGAGATCTTGTGGAAGAGTCGATAATTACTTGACCTCTCTCTGGAAAGGCCCAAGATTCAAATCTCCTTTTCAAATTATGTATCTTTATCATTTATCAATTCTGATTGAAATTACCTACTTAAAATTATCTGCTAGATTAAGGACCTGCCCGAAATGCTGTGCATACTAGTGGCTTTACAAGAATGTAAATACTGTACTATCCAATGTATTCTCATAAACCCAATGTACCTTCTTGTATATATATAAATAAATAAATAAATTATATTTATATAAATAATTAGTTCATATCAATTTTGTAATTCTGCATTTTAACAGATGCCCTGGGCCCATCAAATAGGGTAGGGACCCCAGTGCACTGCTTTGCCCAGGGCCTAACAATGCTGTTAAGACAGCACCGCTAAAACACTTGCATAAGAAACAATAATATTCATATTTACCAACATTCAGGCATCAAAACATGCAAAACTAAGCCCCACTCTTTAACTGGCCTCATAAATGAGGGAAATGCAGTGTTTGTTATCTTAAACTCTCACAAAGGACTACTATGACAGCGAAATATGGACATCAATGTACATTCTTTTCAGATGTGTGAGGAAACACGAACTACAGAATGGGGTTAGTCCTTGTTCTCGCATCAGATATCGACAAAATACAAGTCCCAGCTTGGTGTCTTTTGCAGCTGACAAAAAAATTTGCATGAAAATTACTTCTATAGAAGACATTATAAAACTATAAGCTGATAATAATAAAAGTTTTTGATTGGGCAGTAGAAAATATGATGTTTAAGTGATAAATTCCAGGTTCCCCGTATAGTAACCATGAAGACCTAAAACAAAATACAGGGCACAAGTCAGAATCAAATGTGCCCATAGTAGGAAAGCAATGTGATGTCTGATGGCCTAATGTAATGATGTTTGGAAATAATGATGCCTGGCGTCCTACTGTTTAGGGAGTATAACCAAGCAAGTGTAGCGTCAGCTAGGAAAATAATAGGATTTATTACAAGAACTTTCAAATCCAAGGATCCCATCCCAATACTCATATTATTCAAATCACTTATGATGCCTTGCCTCGAGTACTAAATATGTGCTTTTCCCTTCAGAGCAGGAGAGATGACTGAAATAGAGAACATATATGGCACGCATAGACATGATTGTCTCAAAGCTCTCAAAATGTAGTTTCTAGAAAGGAGACAAGAAGTATCAAATAATATATACATGGAAAATGGTGGAGGGCCAGGTCCTAAATTGGCACAGTAAAATAACATACTGGAGTGAACAACATGGAAAGAAATGCAGAACCAAGCCAGTGAAGAGTAAAAGTGCCGAAGGCATAATCAGAGAACATGTGTACAACAGAGGTCTGCGGCTGTTCAATATCCTCCCAACAAGTAAAAGATATATTACAGAAACCTACAAACATTACAATATATACAGAAAATTATTAAATAAATGTATGCATCAATGCAAAGAACTTTTATTGTATTTTACAGAAGAGATGATGGCTAACTAGGGTTTGCCTGGTTTTATTAACAGCTTACTGTACAGCTCTTTAAGGGTTAAAACCCACTATGACCTGACCAAATTACAGTGTCACCACACAGGTTATTATACGAGTGAATAATACAGACAAATCATCACAATAATCTCTACTTTGACTAAATAATACTCCAGGTTAACCCCTTAACTGCACCGCCTCCAAATATGACACCCCCCAGTGCGCAGGAAATAAATTCTCTGGAAAATATGCTTTTGTTTTTTTCAAGTGTCAAAAACCCTTCCCTCAGTATGGGTATGTCAAATTTTTTTCGAAACTGTGCTTACTTTGGTTGCTATGGGGTCCGTAAGTTGGGACGTGACGTCATCATTCCCCGTTTGCCCTGACATATGCTCCCGGGGCCAGTAGGGCGCCCGGGGCGGGGCTCACGAGTTGCCGCGAATATATTTATGTTCGTTTTTTGCGCACAGTTCCAAATACATTTTATTTGTTTTTACGTGCTAATCCTATGTATAATGAACACGTACACTATATTATGGCAGTAAAACATCCGTACTGTCTGAAGACACTATATTATGGCAGTAAAACATCCGTACTGTCTGAAGACACTGTGTTACGTGCATGACACTTGTGGACACATGTTGCACATATTTACCATGTATCATGCTAATTTAAGTATATATACAATCTATTTACACACTATACACTGTCACACACTATATACATTCACCATCAACACATTCAGAACACCGCGAGTGTGAGTAGCCACCCCAGCCAGCCCTTCCTCACTACTCCAACATTGTATTCGCCAACATTGCTCCTCCCATCGTAGTTATTCACACCAATGTTTCATGTTCATGTATGTATATATTTACAACATATGTACACACTATACACTGTCACACACTATAAACATTCACCATCAACACATTCAGAACACCGCGAGTGTGAGCAGCCATACCTAGCCAGCCCTCCCTCACTCCAACATCTTACTCGCCAACATTGCTCTTCCCACCATACTGTTATTATTTTTATTACACTATTTACACATGTTATATATACCTATCTACATGTTTTATTTACCAGAACTATACAAGTAAGCCGGTATTGTGTCCAAACAGTACTGTGGCCACCATACACTGCATGAGAAATCACACAGCAGACATCAGACGACATCACGATTACGACATCACCTCCCTCACCAAAATAGCTCCTCTCAACATACTCCTGTTGCTGTTATTATATTATTTACATACACACTATATATACCCATGTACATATGTGTTCCCCATAGCAAACCATGAAGCTAGTATGATGAGCAAAACAAGAGTGGCTGCCACACAGTGAGGCTACCTCAATTCTCTCCCTTCCTCACCAAAATTCCTCCTTCCACAATACTACGCACAATGCTAATTATAACCACAATCCTGGTCACTAATTCCTGTAAATGAATAATTGACCACAAGTATATTTTGAAAAGGAACCTATGAAGTCATTTGAAGATTCCTAGATGGACGAAATAATATGGCTAGCGCTGTGAACATCATGAACAGTATTGAATCACTGATATTTGAACATTATATCCAGTCATTATCACACTCAGGCTCTTCTATAATACTATCATGGCTAAATAATAAAGTTATATATATATTTTGACATTATTAGGCGATGCTGTGATCACATGCTGAACAGCAGTGCTGTGTGCTCATGCTGCGAGCGCCAGCCTTGGTTGCTCACTCACTACTGAGGCTCTCGCACCCAGAAATGTGGACCATGATTTTTTTTTAAATGGCGTCTGTTTACAAGAGCCCTGAGGAAGTTGATGTGAACCCTATGTAGCCGCGGGAGTTTTGAATGGAACGTGAAAAATACAAATACCCGGAGGCGCGTAGTGCACCCCAGACGTGGGCCTGCAGGCGCGTTGCGCAGTTAAAGGGTTGAAGGAGTATAATGAAACGATGACAAACACTTAAGAAATACTTACCATCAACATTGAGTAAAAGTGATCCATTTTTCCAATGAGCAGGCCTGAGGGAGCCAAAGAATCCCACCACAGCATTCTTTCCACCACCAATGTCATAGGGGGCACCAAATGCATGGTCCATGGAATAAAAGCTATTGCGGCCAACTCTTTCATAACAGATGCTTGGATTATGTTGAAACATTACTTCTAACATCTGAAAAGTATTGTCATGTAGTACAGTACAACATTAATATTATTCATATACCATAATTCACTGCCATGAACCTGAAACGGTAAGCTTGGAGGCAGTCATTTCATCTTGTCCTCACAGTTTGAAGCAAGGTACAGTCAAATCCATCTTTTTCATCACTTAACTTTTTCCTAAATACAGTACTATTCATCCATTTAATTATCTACCTAAAACAACATACTAATTCAAAAATATATTACAAAGGCATATAGATTCAGCTAGCTGTACTTGGCCCTTCTCGTACCGGTATATTTGAATGTAATCATATACAACTTATTTCTTATGAACTATACTTATAATTTGTGTTAAAACCCAAACTATGATCCTTTTATATCTTCAATGCTATATATTTTACCTTGCAGGCAAAACATATAATCAAAATACAATGATCTAATGTATTTTGTATCAATTTTGGATTGTGACTACAGTATTTCCTTCCAAATTGTCCCAAAAGGACAGGTGTTCACTGTAAGGAACAACTTCCCTAACTTGCTTTTCCATCAATTCTTGATTTTTGAGTCACTTGAGCATATATTTGGTTCATTTTAGTCTAACACACTTATACTTCATTTATCTGATGTCTCAATCTGTCCATCCTGTGTTCATTTTCCATGACTAACTTTGCACATTAAAAACATTACAAACATTCTAGTTTTGTGTTAACAAATAAAATATTTCTCAATTTTAGATACTTCATCTCCAACTATTACCTTGTAACAAGTAGGCTACAGTAATTTTATACACACTTAAGAAATTAGCAGATTCCTCCCCTCGTCTTAATCTTTGATAAACATACCTGTTTTAAGTTTTGTACGAGTAAGGTCTATCAATACAGCAATAACAAAAATATATAGTAATTACTTTACATCAGAGATACAGAATAAAATAAAGTACATTTGGCGTATGCATGAGAGTTGGCCAAGAATGATACTATACCTGAAATATAAATTGTGGGACATTTTCTCTTCGTTCTCTTGGGGCCCTGATAGCTTTGAAAATTTCTTGCAAGGATGCCGTATTTACCTTTGTTAAAGTTACAAAGAATTGTCTGTTTCTCTCACCGTCAAACTTAATATTCACCTGTAAGTAAACAAAATATACTTTATAAAACATCAGTCTCATTGGCATTTCTAATTTTGTTTATTTAATTACAACCTAGCAGCCACAATTTGTGTTCTGACCATGTATAAAAGTGGATGATATTGTAGTGTCGAACACACTGATGATGAGTGTAAGAGCAAAATATACTGGGCACATGAGCCTAAAATAACATACCAAATCCAACTGACACTTTAGAAATCATCAAACTGCAGGGAATGTAAAGGAAGGTGAGAGGGGATGGGAGGTGGGAGGGGATGGGGGGGAGGGGTGGTAGTGGAAGGGGATTTTATTTTTATTTTTTTTATTATTTTCTACCACAGACGTGGCCACACATTTAAAATGCTAACCAGCATATATACATTTTCTTCTGTCGTCCATGGACAGGGTTAGAGATCAGTTAAACATATAGTTCAGGGATTTATTGAACAATCAGGAAGGGTATTGGAAGGTAGGCAGGGGATGGAGAGGAAAGGTGGGCAGGACATGACCAAAACTATATTTACATCATTTGTATAAAAACTGGGCAATAACTAAACTCCACCCATGATAATCGCATTATCCTGGGAATCAATATATGACAACTGCCCTTAAAGGGTTAAAGCTTGAATGTTGTTCATGATGGTCAATATTTTCAGACAGCAACATAAGATTATAAGGTTATAATTTCAGTTCACCAACTGAAACACCAAAGTGTAAAAATAAAATAAAGTAATTTACATACAGCAAACTCCTTTGAAGATTTCCTTAACACTGGGATTACTTTCACACTGTAGGCATTTTTCTCAGAGTCAAATCCAATGGGATGATTCTGGAATATGTCAGGATTCGTGTTGACCATTTCCATGAATATAGCCCTGCAATAAAATATAAAAATACATTATACAGCTCGATCTAAAATACAGAATGTAATTAAACCCACTAAGATTGCAAATATATAAAACATTATATAATGAATATGAACTCGTTATATAAGTATTTACATTCATGTGGTACCTTGTCACAAGCTTTAGCAAAGTCCATGTAAACTACATCTCCTGGAAGTCTTTTGTCTGAATAACTGGTTACAGTTTTTAAAAATGTGAGCAGGTTTGTAAGGCAGGTTCTATTTTTAACAAACTCGCATGGCACTGATTTTACAAGATTGTTCCGAGCTGGTGAATGATTCCCTCCCTTAGGATTCTCTCCATGACCTTACAGATGTGTGAAGTCAAACTGATCAGACAATAGCTTCCTGCCAAGCTCTATTTTACTTTTATTTTTTTAATAAATAGTAACATTTGCATATTTCTAATCATGCGGAGCTATCCCTAGGTCAGGAGATTTTGTGAAAAGGAGTTTCAGCGGTAGGCATAGTGCATCTGCCAGTTCCTTTAAATTAATACTTTGGATTGAATTCCAACAACACCTGGGGCTTTTGAGTCTTAGTTTGGCAATGCTCTTCCTGACTGTCTCATATGAGGCAAGACCAAAGAGCCAGAGCTCAACCCCCGCAAGTACAACTAGTTGAGTACATGTTATGGGTATATCCCTTAATTTGTTCTCTTCATTCTCAAAATATTTGTGAGGGTAATGGGATGTTGTCTAATCTTTCTAATGTGAACACTGATGTAAACTATTCATTCTAAGTGTTTGCTTCCCATTTATCATCCATTATAACTTGGTAAGTCATCTTTTAAGGGTCTTACCAAGCACTTAGTTTTGGTTTACTTCTTACAAGGGCACTGGGCACAAATCCTTAACTGTAGCCTCTGTTTAACTCAACAGTAAAATGGGTACCTGGTTGTTAAACGATTCTTTGCGAGGGTCATATCCCAGCTAACACAGGATTAAGGACGTGCCCGAAACGCTGTGCATACTAGTGGGTGTACAAGAATATAAGAACTCTTGTATATATCAATAAAAATAAAAACATATGCATAGAACGATTTCCGATCTTTCTTTATATTTAGGCAAGTTTTCTTTCGTAGTTTCTTTTGACCGATCTGATTTCCTAGGTTGCTGAATTTAACCCTTAAACTGTGCCACACATCATGTAACATGTTGGAGTACTACGCAAGATTTAAACGGCCCGCGGATACACGGGGTTCACCTCATTTTCATCGGGATTCTTGTAAACAGACACCATTTTTTTTAAATATCGTGGACCACATTCCCGGGTGTGAGGTCCTCAGTACTGAGTGAGCCACCAAGGCTGGCGCACACAGCAAGAGCTCACAGCACTGCTGTTCAGCTTGTGACCACAGCATCACCTAAAAAATGCCATAATATATATATAAATGCTATTATTTAGCGATGATAGTATTACAGAAGACCCCCTGACTGTGAAAAATGACCAGGATTCTGATAATAGCAGGATTGTTGTGATAATTAGCGCTGTAGTGGGAGGAATAATCTTGGTGGGGAGGGAGGTAGTGTTGTCTGCTGACTGTGTGACCACCTTTTACTGTCTGGACTAACTATACCAGCTTAGATGAACAGTTATGGTGAACAAAACATGCACATACTTTTATATTTATATACTGTATATATATATATATATATATATATATATATATATATATATATATATATATATATATATAACATCTGTATATAGTGAATAAAAACAAAAACAGAATGGTGGGAGGTGAATGTTGACGAGTCAGGTGAGGTGAGGGAGGGAGTGCCCGCCACTGGCTGCCATTGCCACTCAGCATACCAACTTAGTGGGTCATTATGGTAAACACAAATGTAGATACTTATATAGAACGTGCATATATAGTGTAATAACAGCAAAATGAGTGTGGGGAGAAGCCATTTTGGGGAGGGAGGTAGCGACATCTGCATGATTTGTCATGCTGGGTAGGGGTGGCCACTAAATTCAAATTTGTGCTTACTATGCTCTTTGGGCACTATACCAGTTTAGTTGAACAGTTATGGTGAACAGAACATGTAGATACTTATATATAATGTCTGTATATAGTGAATAAAAGCAAAAATAGAATGGTGGGAGGAGGATGTGGACAAGTGAGGAGTCACTGAGGGGAGGGAGAGGCTGACTTAGTAAACTAAGTATAACACAGTAAAAAGCTCATTTTACTACCAGTGTTATCTATCTAGTTTGCTTTTTTTTCTTTCTTTCTCTGTTTTGGCACAAATTAGAAAGAGTTTAGTAATGACTTTTTTCATTTATTTCATGATGCTTCCATGTTATGGTCACCTATCGGCTCCCTCCAGGTGTACTGCAATTCTTTCATTCCTTGCTAGTCCTCTCGATGGTATTCTAGAAAGTCATATGACCTAGTAGTTGGGAGCAACCTCATTAAGATAGCTTCAGGGGACTAATGAGGTTCAAGTATGTTTATTGAGATAAGAAAGAAATACATCTTAAAGGGATAAAGTAGCTTAGGCTATTTCAACCCGGTTCACCCGGAAAGAGGCATTCCATTCAAAACTTTATTTACTATTACATAACTTTGCCTTGCAGTTTAAATTATATAATTTACTCACTAGAGAGGTGACATCAGCATAACAAATGTTCCTTTACAGTTTTCCCTTAAATTCCTTTTAAATGTGTGTAGCTGTAAGAAAAAAATATTGTACTTACATGCGTTTCTTCTTGGAGATTGGGACAATTTCTTTCTTATAATCCTTTATAACAACATCATAATGAGCCAGCTGAATGTTTGGTGTCCTTGGGGTGACCTCGAAGTAATTAGCCTGTAGAGCGATCCTGCGTCCAATGGTGCCTTTGATCTCTTTTCCCTCTTCATCACGTTGCCGAAGAGGAGGGCGAGGATCTAAAAAATAATTATATTATGAAGTGGGCTTCCTAGACGGAAGGTTGTAAGAACATATCTGATTAAGTTGTATGTTTGCAATCAATCAACAGTGGGGTGCAATTATTATGTGGAGGTGTAAATTATACAGGTGAATAGAATATTGGCTGGAATATTGAAATCTTTGACTTTGATATATATAAAATATATATATATAAAATATATATATATAAATATATATATATATATAAATATATATATATATATAAAATATATATATATATATATATAAATATATATATAAAATATATATATAAAATATATATATAAAATATATATATATATATATATATAAATATATATATAATATATATATATAATATATATATATAAAATATATATATAAATATATATATAAAATATATATATAAAATATATATATAAAATATATATATAAAATATATATATAAAATATATATATAAAATATATATATAAAATATATATATAAAATATATATATAAAATATATATATAAAATATATATATAAAATATATATAAAATATATATATATATATATATATATATATATATATATATATATATATATATATATATATATATATATATATATATATATATATATATATATATATATATATATATATATATATATATATATATATATATATATATATATATATATATATATATATATATATATATATATATATATATATATATATATATATATATATATATATATATATATATATATATATATATATATATATATATATATATATATATATATATATATATATATGACAGTGTCAGACCACGGAGTAAAATTGAAACAGTAATTTCCTTAAGTACTTTCGGATATTAATACATCTTCAGAAGGAGTTCTAATAGTCAGAAGTATTAATATACGAAAGTACTTAAGTCAATCAGGCTGTTGGACGAGGCTGTAATTTGTACACATTACATAAAATCATAAATAATCATCGTTGAGTTTAAATTAACATTAATAGCCCAATTTGCTTTTAAATTAGCCCAAAAAAGTCGCAAGTAGCGAAATTAAAAAATTGGGAGCGCGGAGCTCTAAAAAAGTAGCCCAATTCGCTACTTGTAGCCCAATCATCCCAACCCTAAGTGTCCCCCAAAAAGATCTCTAATCCATTACCAAATAAACAAAATCCCTTTCCTCGCGCGTAATTACATACCTGTGCCCAAATCCTTCCACGGCATTACGGCTGTCATGATAAAATAACTTAGAAAAGTTAAAAAAAAAAAAAAAATGAGATGGAGCACTAGTAGCAAGATATATCCAGCCCCCGTAGCCTCTTCCTGTGATCTGAGTTTGTGTGAGTCGCCACCTCTGGCAACTTCCCTCGAGCCTTCGTATACTACTGCCCTACTTGTTGCACACCCACGCCACATCTAGAACAATAATAACAGTAATAAGAACAATAATACTAATTATTTTAATTATAATAATAACAATAATCATTTTATTTACACGAATGTACAAGGAGTTTGTGAGATTACATATAATAATGGTAGTTTCACATTCTTGCATAGACACTAACAGGCATAGCGTTTCGGGCAGTCATTTGGGTATTGTAATCATTATCTCATTATCAACTGAAGGCAATTGTTTACACGGAGTAGGCCTATACACTTAAGGGGATGTGAAAGCTGTGAAATGTCAATATTAATGCAAATAATCTAATGCCATACAATTTCTAAATAGTATCAATAGTATGATAATCATCGTACATTACAGCATTTATTCTGCTTAATGTCTCTTTTTTTTTTATAAATGAAGCAAAAATAATCAAATATGTTGCATTTAAACACAGCAGATGTGATTAAAAAGTTTATATATTTAGAGAATAAAGAGTAAGGTTACAACGTCACATGACGCAATCATTGAGAAGGCACGGGAGCTAATAGTACCTCTACACGTATGGTTCCTGTTCTGTACGTTCCTGGCACTATCTGCCCTGCGCCCACGGAAATGCTATTTTTTTTTTTTTGCCCCGAGGGGCGAGTTTATTGGCCAGCGCCACTCATCCTGTGAGTGGACACACCGCCATAGTGACAGTATTGGGCAGCGTCACTCATCCTGTGAGTGGACACACCGCCATAGTGACAGTATTGGGCAGCGCCACTCATCCTGTGAGTGGACACACCGCCATAGTGACAGTATTGGGCAGCGCCACTCATCCTGTGAGTGGACACACCGCCATAGTGACAGTATTGGCCAGCGTCACTCATCCTGTGAGTGGACACACCGCCATAGTGACAGTATTGGGCAGCGCCACTCATCCTGTGAGTGGACACACCGCCATAGTGACAGTATTGGGCAGCGCCACTCATCCTGTGAGTGGACACACCGCCATAGCAGCATGTACAACACTCCCCAATAGGAAGAAAACCCGCTGGGTTGTTCATCCTGTCACTTGTACCCAGACACAGCTGGGCCTTGCTTAACTGTCTCAAGTGAATAGCTTCTCAAAAAGAAGATTAAAAATTTGCACCAATTTTAAATGTGAAGATTAACATTTATACCAATTTTAACTTTTTTTCCTGCTAACAAACTCCACAACAATGTACGATTACTTATGCTATATGAAAGACTACAGAATTTAGATGCAGGTGTATATTGTAGAACACAAGCAATATGAGTTAATTTAATATCCCCATTTCATTAGATGCTTAGTCATCTTGCAGCATCTAGAGAGAACGTAAAATGAGTAATATATTAGCCTAAACTAGCATATTCTGGGTAGAACACGAGAATGTCTTCCAATATTTGTGGGTGTATAAAGCAGTTACAGAGCTCAAAGTACCTCACGTCATTTGGTATGATATCACTGATAACAGGACAAACACAGTATATCGGAGAGTTTATCCTAGCTCTTGTTCACATAGTTTACGACTGGATTGTTCATCACTGGGATGTTCATTGCCTGCAGCCGTGCCTGCTAGCGTCAGGATTGATTGATGATTGATGAAGATTAAGTCACACCAAGTAGTGGCATGGGCATGAATAGCCCGTAAGTGGTGGCCCTTTTGAGCCATTACCAGTATCAAGAGCTGATACTGGAGATCTGTGGAGGTGCGACTACACCCTACGTGACGGGAGATGTCTCCCGTGGCTGCTATCCTAGGTCCAGTCCTCTTATCCTTCTTGACCTGACCAGGTCACCTCTATTCCCGATTGCTGATGCATCTGCGGTAACAAGTACAGTACAGGAATCGTACCAATTCTATGGAATTGTGGTGTTCTTTCTGTAATATGGCTATTCTGAGAAAACTGGGGCGGTGTGCAGGATAAACATAGCTCTCCTCGTATGTCTGTTGCTTAAATTAGAAACTGTACTTGTGGTCGGTCTCGAGCCCATTGTTGATGTGACGACGTGCATTGACGTGCTCACAGGATGGGTATGGGGTGCATAATAAATGAATGAACTACTGAGAACTGGAGTTGTTATTAATAGAGGTCTTCATTTAGATGTTGTCCCTCGTAACCCTCTCAAGTTCAAGTATGTTTATCGAGATAAGCAATAAATAAATCTCAAAGGGATAGAGTAGCTTAGGCTATTTCTACCCTCCTGAACCCTCTCACTACCCCCAAGCAACGCGGCCAGTGGCACTGCTTGCATTCATCCATTTATTGAGATCAAATTTTTTTTGAGATATATACAAGAGTTGTTACATTCTTGTACAGCCACTAGTACGCGTAGCGTTTCGGGCAAGTCCTTAATCCTATGGTCCCTGGAATACGATCCCCTGCCGCGAAGAATCGTTTTTTCATCCAAGTACACAATTTACTGTTGCGTTAAACAGAGGCTACAGTTAAGGAATTGCGCCCAGTAAATCCTCCCCGGCCAGGATACGAACCCATGACATAGCGCTCGCGGAACGCCAGGCGAGTGTCTTACCACTACACCACGGAGACTGCCAATTCGTTTTAATTCACTAAGAATCATTTTCCTAGTAAAGCTGTCCTCTCAAGTGAAGCTTTTGTTGCCAGGGAAAGTATTCAGAGTATTAGAACCCCTTCCACTACCTTTCTAGTTCTAATATTATTACTTTTAGATTATTTCACACTTCTTAAAGTCAATATTGTGATCCTTTTCCCAGCTATGGTTTGCTACAGCATTGTTACCAGTCAGAATTCTTTATGCTTTCTTATGTTCAATTCTGGTCTGCGGTTTTCGCCTTGTTCCCCCCCCCCTACATGGACTCCATTACAATCTTTACAAGGTAATATATAAACTCTTCCCAGATTTCACTCATCTTAGTGTTGAACGGAATCTTGAGTTATCATAAGATAAGATAATGTTTATTCAGGTAAAAGTACATACTTTATTTATTTTATTTATTTATTTATATACAAGAAGGTACATTTGGTTTATGAGAATACATAGCATTGATGTTTTACATTTTTGTAAAGTCACCAACACGTACAGCGTTTCGGGCAGGTCCTTAATCTAACAATTTTAAAAACTACACCGCCCCCCATCCAGTGGGCAGCGGTGGATAGGTTACAATCACTTAGTTACTACCTACAGTTAGCAAACTGGGGATATTTGGCTAAGATTTCTGGTAGCAGATCATTTTGAAATAAATATTTAGAAATCCCTGGAACATTTTTTTATAGAAATGTCTCTGAATTCACGCATCTTTTCGCATTCCATCACATAGTGACGGAGGGTGTGCGAATAATTTTGTTGACACAGTTTACATTTGGTCAGGTCTACATCGGCAGATAATGAGAATTTCCAGAGATACTTGTAACCGAGTCTAAACCGAGCAGTAATAACATCTAGAAGTCTACTGATTTTATTGGATGATCCATAGATGTGTGGCTCCTCTTGCATGATAATATGAGGATAGATGGAATTACTGGTGTCAATTTCACTGCCTAAAATCTACAAGATTTTGTTGAAGTTCTTTGTGTACTCAGGCTTGGCTCTCAGACTGCTTATTGACAATCCAAGATTATACTCAACTTCTCCTTTTAAAGGCAAATTCTTTGACCAACTCATCAGCTCTATCATGCATTCGGAGGCCAAAATGAGATGGAGTCCTCATGAAATAGACTCTGTTACCATCAGTAATAATTTTATTGTATTTGTGTCTAGTTTCAGACTCGAGCATGTTACAGTTATGTCTTAAAGAATTGAGAGCAATTAAGGATAATAAATGTCATGGAAGTCAGTTTAAGTCAGAAGTCAAATGTAATTAAGTCAGTTTTAGCATGGTATGGATGAAAACTTAATGTTAAAAATAATTAACATCTATGAACTAGTTAACAAGCCTCTCAGGTATGTAATCGTGCACTGTGTAGCACCAGTGCTTTCACATATAGAAAAAAATTCAAGATAATTATTTTCCAAAAGTTGATGAAGGCGTTTTACAAAGGATGTGGCCGCTCGTGCCTTGAATGACCGCAGCACTCAAGAAAGTGTTCCTTCTTCAAGATATAACAGTGGATCGAGGCATTTTTACCTGGCCTATTCGTATTGGAAGGGATGAGCTACCCTCTTGGATCCCCGCCTATCAACCCTTAACGGCTCAGGGGTCAGATTCATGAAAGCACTTACGAACGTGTACATCTTTCCTCAATCTTTGACGGCTTTGGTTGCATTTATTAAACAGTTTACAAGCATGAAAACTCGCCATTCAACTGTTGTTATTGTTATAAACAGCCTCCTGGTGCTTCGGAGCTCATTAACTGTTTAATAATTGGAAACAAAGCCGCCAAAGATTGAGAAAAGATGTACAGGTTCGTAAGTGTTTGCGTAAGTGCTTTCGTGAATCTGGCCCCAGATCTGTAATTATCTTGTGTAAATATCAGGTTGATGCACAAAAGTATTCTCTACCTGATACGGAACATGGATGTTATGGAGGCAATGCCAGCGTTCAGTAGTTCAGCGGGGCTACTGTTGTTGTCCCAAGAGGCGACTTCCTTGCTGGTAATGTTGTAGCAGGCGGGCGAGGACACCACCTTCACCGTCGCCTCGCTCTCTATCTTCACCACATCCTGACCTTGCTGGTGGCACATCACAGCCTCTCTTGGGATGATGCTCACATCACTGCCATAGGAATAAAGAAGTGTAAATAATCACCGAATTATCGTTCCGTTGCAGGCGACGAGTCACAATAACGTGGCTGAAGTATGTTGACCAGACCACACACTAGAAGGTGAAGGTGGCGACGACGTTTCGGTCCGTCCTGGGCCATTCTCAAGTCGATTGAGAATGACCCAGGACGGACCGAAACGTCGTCGTCCCTTCAACTTCTAGTGTGTGGTCTGGTCAATATCGTTCCGTTTGTTCAGCTTTGGTCACATAACATTTACATTCATGCATGTTTAAATACATATCAGCTAGCGAGGATGTAATAAGATCTCTGTATATTATCTCTAGGAGGGTTAGCAAAATGGTATGTGTGTGTGGAGGCTCACCCGGTCGCTTGGTGGTCGACGCTGACGAAGGACAGCCTGGCCAGGGGCAGACTGGTGTCGCAGAAGAGGACGCAGTAGCTCAGAGGATTGAACATGTCTGCTTCGTAGGTCCACTGGACGAGGGCCTCGCTGGCACTGCTCAAATCCTCGTGGTGGTACAGGAAGAACGAGTACGCCTTCCCGCGGGTGAAGCTAACGGGTCCACTGAAAGTTAATTTTCTCGTATAATATAAGCTTTATTTGAGCGAAAGTCTATCATCGAAGGTTTGATCAGATAAAAGAGGAGAATAGATTTTGGAACACTACTTACTTTGCTGAGAGGTCAAAATCCTGGATGCTGCCATCGTCGGTAATGAAAGACACTTTGACCTTCCCCCTAAGAACTCCCTTCACCGCATCAGGATCCGCAAACTCCAACACCAACCGGTAATGATACACTGTAGGGGAACACAAACTGGTAAAATTCCAACAGTGATATGATTTCCGTACATCTAGACGATATCCGCTTTGCCAAAATACAAAACTTCACACTTATTGTTCGTACGTATAACCACTCGACTTACGGCAGTAGTTAGGGGGGCCGGCGGTAGAGAGGTAGAAGGTGACGAGGCTCTGGTTCCCGGCTGGCCACTGGTCCGCATGCAGCCCCAGCTGAGCACAACCGCTTCCGTCGTCCCCACAGCTTGTGCACTTTCCCTACAGAACTCAAAAATATCTTTATTATCTTTCATGTAACATAGTTACAGTACTAACATTATATGGAACACAAAACTAATTATCGGATGTTCACTAATACATGACGCCCTCCACTCTTAACAGGAGAAAACTGGTGCGTTTTAAACACATGAATGTATGGATGATGCTCACGTCCAGATACTGCTGGTAAGACTGGCAGCGGAAGGCCGTGTAGGGACACGTCGAGAGGATAGAGTCGGTGAAGAGCTTTGGCGCTCTATTATGGTTACATGCGATCAGCTCCTTCTGTGCCGCGTCCAGACCTACAGGAGAGGCTCAGTGAGACGACCGAGAAGCTGGACAATAAACTCTATAAAACGATGGGTTATTTAAAGCACGAGAATCACTAAGAAGAAAACTGCTTATTAATCTCTCGCCTATATATTGCCTTCGCCTCCTTCCCTCATTACAGTCGACTTGAAAATGGTCCAGGACGGACCGAAACGTCGTCGTCCCTTCACCTTCTAGTGTGTGGTCTGGTCAACATACTGCTCTAAAATATACCATACTAATCTTAATATAAGAATCACCTTTATGGACAAGAGTAATGTAGATGTAAGCTTGGTACCGACCTTCGTCGATGCTGAGGCCGTCGGTGAGGGCTGAGAGAGGAACTCTACTGAGGGAGTCACAGCCTGGTTGACCACGACCGTCGTTTGGATAGAAGTCCAAGTGACCCACCGGCTGCCGCAGCCCGTAGCCTGGCGACAGACGCACACATTTAGTACTCCTGCTCTGGTAGATGACCCAGGATCTCTTTTTTTTCAAGTACATTAATGCTAAAAATGCTGCTGCTTCTTTAGAATCACGTACAAGGGTCGGTAGTGGAAACGAACACTGGTCAGTGACTCATTTCAACAATTATCGATTGTTGAACTGTAATTCAGAGATTGGACTCGTTGCTAGGACATGTGTAGCATTACGATAAATAATATTGTCTTTAGTTAACCTAATAACATTTTCTAAATGCACAACAAATAAAAGAAAACTAAAATTTAAGGGTATACTTAATAAAAATTTGAATTGTTTTTAATGTGCAGTTACATAATAGAACCTTATAAGCATTTAGGAATAGGCATTCGTTCCATCGTATTACCCGTTTTATGCACAATCGTTCGATCACATTGCCTGGAGCATATCGTATTGTCTGCTTTATACACAATTCTAACAATTAGAATAACTTTACGAATTCATTGTTATCAAACTAGTAAACAAATATGTAGTGTGAAAATATTAAAAAACAAATTTCATATTAATTAAATTCTAATACTGACGTGATCAGATCATGAAATTTAGATAAAACAGTCACCTATAACTGTACATTTTCTTTTGTGAAATAATAAAAGAAAGCACCAAGCCGGGGAGACTATGGAGGACCGTCAATGTCGTGGGAGATCTAAAATGCACTAAATATCACAGTTTTGGAGAATTAAAGTATTTAAAAAAATAAAACCTGATTACTTTGTATAAATAATATTAATTCATTGTAGGGGGGAGGGCAGGAAGCCAGTGTATATATACATTTTAGACTTGTATGTATGTACCTTACCTAAATAAAATTGTATTGTATTGTATTGTATTTGTATCGGTCTCTTCCCCTCCCCCCCCAAGACAAGCCGACTCCTGGGTACCTATTTACTGCTTGGTTAACATATTTTCTTCTCTATTTTATAGTTAGCCCGATGTAGACGAGAGAAACTATTCCAACTGCGTACCAGTACCCAGGTAGAAGATGGAGTCTGCGTCGGTGTGAATGACGTCGACGAAGAGGGCGTCGGAGGGGTCCAGACGGACGCTGGCCGGCATGTACTGGAAGAAGGGCTCAGCGGGGTCCAATCCGGTGATCCTCCCCAGTCCAGACACCCGCTCCCCGGCGTACCCTGAGGCATTGAGTGCAAGCAATGGTGATCCAGATCACCGTGAACCTGTTCCACAACGTACTCTATTGATTCGCTAAACCAAAGTCTTTGTTTCGCAATTTATGACAAAATAAAGGTTTTCAATGATTATAGACATTTTGTTTAAGATTTAAATGGACTGTTAAGAGAAATAATTTTTAAACAATCAGCTTAAAACTGTGTATACCAGAAGAGCTTTAGTGTAGTGTCTATTTAGAAGTCTGTATCCTATACCCAAGCTGTGCTAGGCATGATGTTGGTCTGCAGTAATGACCAGTATGATTTACCCAACTGCATCATTGGTCGTTAAAATAATCTGTTTAATGCATCTGTTGTATGTTAATTAGAACAAATTATGTTTAAACATGTGTGACAGTAGAATGGTTTGTAATTCATCTATTGCAGTGGGTTATGACAGCTGTACAATACACCTGCCTGCAGTAAGGTATGAAAGTGACTAGTTTAATGTACTTGTAGTGTGTGTTCATCAAGATAGTGACGGCTATAACGCACTTACCTGCAGTGTGAGAGCCAAGGGAGTGACCTATAATATGCACGTCACTTGGATCGAGGCCAACGTTGTCCTTGAGCCAGTTAATGAAGTGAGCGACCTCGAGGCCGACCACTCGAGTGTTAGCGGTGGCCTGTGAATAGAGGGATTGAGACCCGCCCGACCAGTCCACCGTCACCACGTTGAAGTCCTCGTACTGCAGGAGGGCTCGAACCATGTCCTGCACGCAAACGTATATTCCCAAGTCAGTGGGTTAAGCGTGCAAAGTTGCAACGGGATTTATCACATAAGAAGACATTGACAAGCACTAAAACACATACTTTTGCTTTAAGCCAAGCTTCTTTGGGAAAATAATGTTATCCTGAATTTAATAACAAATGTATTATTGAAGTAAATGATCTCGAGAAAGATTCACTTCACTTACTAGCATCCACGTTACGCCAGAGTTGTCCAAGAACCCATGAATCAATATCTTAGTCTTTCTCTTGTGGTTAAAGGTTGTATTGTGGACTTTGGTAAGGTTGGTGGCCTCGAGGGAGGTGCCGAGGCTGTCCTCCTTGGAGTAGACGGTGAAGACGACGTGGATCTCCTCCCGGGTGTACGGTGGGAGGTTAAGAGGCCGGTGGATGGGGTGGAAGAAGTCCTCGTGGGTAAAGAGGCAGCCCAGATCCTCGAAGCAGAGTTCATTGAACTCGTCCTCGCCCTCTCCTGGAATTGACAAAATAAATGTTGCTTCCCTGATCAACTAGGCTGTGATTCATACGTCAGGCTGCAAGCAGCCTCGTCCAACAGTCTGGTTGACCAGCCCATCAACCAGGAGGCCTGGTCACAGACCGGGGCCGCGGAGATCTTGACCCCCGGAATCACCGCAAGGTAGGTCCCCTTCAGGGAACCCGAGTACCGAGTATCAAGTGTCCCACCTTAAGATGTAGTCTGCTTGTTCGTCTTCCAGACGTCTAGTGCTCCTTAGATTTAGTGCAGTTTAATTTTACATATTTATCAGTCACACTCGGCTATCTAAACATTATATATTTTATTTAATTTTAGTTATGACAGTTTTTTTAAACTTTGGGCTATTGATGCATCAAGAACAAATTAATATTAATTTAAGTGTTTCAATTCTAGTTCAATTAATTCCACATGTTATGAATAAAGAACCAGTTCTCTTTCTCCTAAATTGTGTATGAATGTAAGGAGAGGAAGTGTGGAGTTTAGGAGCGTCCAGAGAGGAGAGTTCAGTCCCCCACACTGCTATAATAATTAACATTGAATGAGGTGTGTGGGGCCGAGAGGTGTGTGGGGGCCGAGAGGTGTGTGGGGCTGAGAGGTGTGTGGGGCTGAGAGGTGTGTGGGGCTGAGAGGTGTGTGGGGCTGAGAGGTGTGTGGGGCTGAGAGGTGTGGCGTGAGGCTGAGAGGTGTGGCGTGAGGCTGAGAGGTGTGGCGTGAGGCTGAGAGGTGTGGCGTGGGGCTGAGAGGTGTGTGGGGGCTGAGAGGTGTGTGGGGCTGAGAGGTGTGTGGGGGCTGAGAGGTGTGTGGGGAAGGAGGCTGTAAAGATGGTTAAGAGTAAATAATGTTAAAGAACACCTGGAAGACATGTTCCTTGCATGCGAGTCCAGTGTCTGAACACAGCGTACGAGACCATAAACTGAACCTGAGGAGTACAACTGACTGCTGTTGGTCCTGGGCTGGAACTGGCTGACGAGCGGCCTGTAGATGGGATGGACAGCAGCCCGCAGGACGTTGCCGATAATAGGTAGGTCGCGCAGGCCGGACATGACGTTGCCAAAGAAGCCCAGAGAGCTCTCTTGCTCCTGCCCCGTCACCAGGACCACAGCGGCCACCAGGACCACCACCACGGTCCCCATCATGGCTGGCCAGTCCCTACTGCTGGTCCTGAAGGAGGAAGAACTGGCGTCAAGACCCGCAGCTCTGACCAGAAACTATTCAACAGGCATTACTCTATTTTATAAGATTCTAAGTTAAGAACTAAAAACTAAATTTACATAATTAAGAATTTAATAGAGTAAAATTGCTACCAAGACACACCAACCCATAAATCTTAAAAGAATTACCAATGCCCCCCTGTTCACCTAGCAGTAAATAGGTACCTGGGAGTTAGACAGCTGCTACGGGCTGCTTTCTGGGGGGTGTGCGTGTGAAAATTAGGATTAAGGACTTGCTCGAAACGCTATATGCGTGCTAGTGGCTGTACAGGAATGAATGTATATACTTGTATATATATATATAAATAAATAAATAAATAAATAAATAAAAGAATTGACGAGGAATCTTTTCCGTCATGGACTATTATTATCAAGTCGTCAGTTCCTTTACTTTCAGGTCTGTGGGTTGAATGTCGAATTTTCACCCACATTATTGTGACATTTTCTGCTATTGTTAATAATTGCCATCTGGTGTTGGCCACGGCAGCTTTATAGAAAACGTGAGAGAAACAGCGAGTGTGACACACACGTGTACGTGTGTGTAGTGCCCGGTGTTCACAGTCGTAAACACTGGGGTACCAAATGACTGTTCGAAACAATTGAACATTATCATTGGTCCAAGTGTTGAACACGAGCGAGATGCTGTAGTGTTTTCAGCTGCATGTTCACTTGTAATGAGAAATAACTTACACAACTCATTATATACATTTAACTTCGCTATAACACGAACACTGCGTCACCCGACCCCTCCACAGGAGTTTCGTGACGTCATGTAAAAGGTGGTCACTTTAGGCCAAGAGAAGTCACAGTCCCAAAGTGTTGTTTTTTTCCTTAACTTCAGTCCCAGGCGCAAATGGCAGGCCGTTCAGCACTGTATTAACTCCCATAATTGATGCGTTTAACAGCGTGGTTGGCATTCACAGCACGAACAGGCTTTCTAGGGCGTTTCTCAAGTCCCTTTCCCTGTACACGAAATGCATATTCAGGAGGCTGACGGACTCGCCGAGACCTGAAGTGCGTGGCCTCTGGAGCGCCCCAAGACCTGCAGTGCGTGCATGGCCTCTGGAGCGCCCCGAGACCTGCAGTGCGTGCATGGCCTCTGGAGCGCCCCAAGACCTGCAGTGCGTGCATGGCCTCTGGAGCGCCCCAAGACCTGCAGTGCGTGCATGGCCTCTGGAGCGCCCCAAGACCTGCAGTGCGTGCATGGCCTCCGGAGCGCCCCAAGACCTGCAGTGCGTGCATGGCCTCCGGAGCGCCCCGAGACCTGCAGTGCGTGCATGGCCTCCGGAGCGCCCCGAGACCTGCAGTGCGTGCATGGCCTCTGGAGCGCCCCAAGACCTGCAGTGCGTGCATGGCCTCTGGAGCGCCCCAAGACCTGCAGTGCGTGCATGGCTTCTGGAGCGCCCCAAGACCTGCAGTGCGTGCATGGCCTCTGGAGCGCCCCAAGACCTGCAGTGCGTGCATGGCCTCTGGAGCGCCCTGAGACCTGCAGTGCGTGCATGGCCTCTGGAGCGCCCCGAGACCTGTAGTGCGTGCATGGCCTCTGGAGCGCCCCGAGACCTGCAGTGCGTGCATGGCCTCTGGAGCGCCCCGAGACCTGTAGTGCGTGCATGGCCTCTGGAGCGCCCCAAAACCTGCAGTGCATGGCGACTCCCTCTCAACATGGTGGCATAACATTCTCATTAGTAGTGAGGGTGGCCATGGAGGGAGAGCCTTCAACAGTAAGCTCCCTGACCACTAGTGGGGGAGAAAGCGAGGCAGCCACACGTATGGCTGATGATTGGCTCAACAACAACAACAGTCACGAGTGTTGTGATGAACTCCCAAGTCTGCCTCTGCTGCCGTTTGTTCCTGCACTGTTTATCTTGACTCTAAGGAGCGATACATTTCAATTAATTTGAATCCAAGTTGATTAATGCCTCTCTGTGGAAACCTTTGTACTGCCGGGACAACAAACATTTTATTGTATTTAATATCCAATTACAAATTTCACAAGATCAAAATAAATATGAATATTGCGTTGTAGTAGTTGACTCAAGTGTATAATTGTAAAAGTAAATTGTATTTTCAGAGCACTTCACCTGGTGAAGTGCTCATATATCCTTGTAGTACATGTCACAACTTTTTTTGCACTTCGGGCTCACCATAGCCCGGGCTACCCGCCCCGCTCCTGTGCCAGGTAAGTTACGGGCTCACCATAGCCCGTGCTACTTGCCCCGCTCCTGTGCCAGGTAAGTTACGGGCTCACCATAGCCCGTGCTACTTGCCCCGCTCCTGTGCCAGGTAAGTTACGGGCTCACCATAGCCCGTGCTACTCGGAATCTGTTCCGAGTAGCTGAATCTATAACAACAGTCACAACTTTAGAAAACGGCCTACGGCTTACAGTATCGTACCAGGCGAAGCTGTCTTGTGCAAGATTGACTTCAGCTAGGAATGTGGGAGGAGCTTACAGCCGTGGATATGTTGACCTCTGAATCGTTATTAAAGAAACTTGCTCACCTTAACCCCCTCCCCCCTTCCCACCCTCACGTCTGGGCGATGCTACTTATTGTCTTGGCGATGTAGTGCTTGAGTTAGTCTCTCTCCACTTCTCTCGCGTCTGTGTGTACCCGGAGAAGCTTCAGTCAACTAGGAAGCGAAGATAGAACACATTGAGAAAAAATTTGCGTGATTTTTTTCTCAATATGTTCCCTCTTCGAGTGTAAAAGATGCGATGCTACGCGTGGTGCTAGTTACCTTGACCCTCTGTGGTGGAAAGTGAAGCTACTGGCAGGTGGACAAATAGCAACATAGCGCTCTAGTGAGCGCAGGCAGTAGCGGCTGGGACGCTGCCCGCTGCTACACTGTCGCCGGGACAACAACAACCAGTCTTGGGTATATATATTGCGGAGAACAAGCAAATCACAATTACGAAAACGAAGTGTGTGGCAGTGTTGGGGGGGGGGAGGAGTGTTGGAGGGGGAGGAGTGTTGGAGAGGGGGGGGGGCAAGTAGGGAAGGGGAGGAAGAGTTGTGGGGGAGAGTGTTGGAGGGGGAGAGTGTTGGATGGGGGAGGAGTGTTGGAGGGGGGGAGGAGTGTTGGAGGGGGGGAGGAGTGTTGGAGGGGGGAAGGAGTGTTGGAGGGGGAGCTAATTACTACAACAGTCTTACTTATATATGTGCTACATCTTTCAGTGACATGAGTGAGGACAGGTGTGTGACAGATCCGTACACACGTGAATGTGAAGTCACTACTAACATGATGTGAATGAAGTGAAGTCAAGTACATGTACACAAGTGGAGTTACCAACAATGTATGGAAAAAAATACAGTCGTTATGTAAGTGGAATACATCACGTCACTAGTGACGTGAATTCACAAGTGATGTATATGAAGTGTGTGACGTCACTCATCTCCCTTAATAAGTTGTGACGTCGGCAGTGAAGGACGTGACAGATATGACGTCAGTGATTAACGTGAAAGGTGTGAAGTCAGCAGTGATGCGTTTCAGAACCAATAAAGGCGAAAAAAAAACTAATCGCAATCCACGATTCATGCGCAATCTGTCGTCGCAATTTTTGTTTTGTTTACTAAATGCGCTGACAATAAGGAAATAGAAAACTGGACGTTTATATTAAAATTAAGTCTCCCATTTTCTTTGCTATGGAAAGGGACCAGTTATTGCCTCGTACGGGCCAATAGGCCTTCTGCAGTTACTTTGTTCTTAAGATACAGGGATAGATAACAGGGTAGTTAGTGCCACCAACCCTGTGCCACACCTGCATCTTGGGAGGCCCCATACCTGCATCTTGGAGGGCCCCCACCTGCATCTTGGGAGGGCCCACACCTGCATCTTGAGGGTGGTGTGGGTGAGGCTTGTGCCTCCCTTCGTCAGCTTGGGACGACATGAACTCCCTCTGGATTCCACAACCCGCGAAAGGTAATGCTATTTATTTCAATTTCTTTGTAATATTGGAGGCCAAGTATGTATGTTTACTATTTGTGTCTGCAACATCGAGCTATTAGCTCTTGGACTCCGCCTTTCTACTCTATTTTGTTCCTCTATTATATTTGCTATATATTTCAACACACGCATCCCAAGGAAGGAGGCAGTCTGTGGTAGCTGTTTAACTCCCAAGTACCTATTTACTGCTATGTCAACAGGGGGCATCAGGTGTGAAAGAAACTCTACCCATTTGTTGACCAGACCACACACTAGAAGTTGAAGGGACGACGACGTTTCGGTCCGTCCTGGACCATTCTCAAGTCGATTGTGTCGTCCAACCCGTTCTCGCAAATTCGTAAAGTCAATATTGACTTATTAACTACGTGCATAGGTGATATACTAAACATAATAGATACCCCTAAAAAGATTCATAGAAAACACCGACCTTACCTAACCTAGTTAGTATCTTAAGATAAGCATCTTATTGCTTCGTAATTACAGTTATTACTTAACCTATACCTATTATAGGTTAGGTAATAATTGTAATTACGAAGCAAAAAGATGCTTATCTTAAGATACTAACTAGGTAAGGTCGGTGTTTTCTTTGAATCTTTTTAAGGGTATCTATTATGTTAAGTATGTCACCTATGCACATATTTAATAAGTCAATATTGACTTATTAAATTTGCGAGAACGGGTTCCACCAATCGAGTTGAGAATGGTCCAGGACGGACCGAAACGTCGTCGTCCCTTCAACTTCTAGTGTGTGGTCTGGTCAACATACGTCAGCCACGTTATTGTGACTCATCGTCTACCCATTTGTTTCCACTTCGACCGGGAATCGAACCCGGGCTCTTAGGACTACGATCCCCGAGCGCTGTTCGTTTTCTGTTCGTGGGTACTCTGGTTGGTTCGGTTAAGGCACGTTAGTATAAGACAGTTTCTTTATACTGTTAACGCTCGCGAAACCGGACTGCCTTAATAACCCCAACGGCTTGATAGCCCTTAATCCCTTAACCGAACAC